GATAGTGATATCATAATCTTTCAACAACTCCAACCACCTCCTCTGCCTCAAANTTGTATAAGGCCCTGAACCTGTGGGCAATATCAACACCGGTGCCGTAGTCAGAGCTGTCTTGAGATTCTGAAAGCTCGCCTCACACTCATCCGACCATCTAAACCATCGGGGCTGCGATAGATGAAAACCCCTCCACGAACCGACGATAGTAGCCTGCCAATCCTAAGAAACTCTGAATCTCTGTAGCTAATGCTAGTTTAGGCTAGTTCTTGACTGCCTCAATCTTCTTCAGATCAACCTGAATACCCTCTACTGATACAACATTACCCAGGAATGCAACTGAACTCAACTAGAACTCACACTTCGAGAACTTAGCATATAACTGACTATCCCTCAAGGTCTGAAGAACCACTCTAAGATGCTGCTCGTGCTCCTCCCGGCTGTGGGAATAAATAAAAATATCATCAATGAAGACTATCATGAATGAATCCAAATAAGGCATGAACACTCGGTTCATCAAATACATAAAAGCTACTGGGGCATTTGTCAACCCGAATGACATAACCAAGAACTCATAATGCACGTACCGAGTGCGGAAAGTTGTCTTAGGGACATAGGATGCCCTAATCCTCAACTGATGGTAGCCAAATCTCAAGTCAATCTTCGAAAATACCTTGGCACCCTGAAGCTGATCAAACAAATCATCAATCCTCGGCAATGGATACTTATTCTTGATTGTAACCTTATTCAACTGCCGGTAATCGATACATATTCTCATCGATCCATCCTTCTTCTTAACAAACAACACCGGCGCACCCCAAGGCGAAACATTCGGCCTAATGAAACCTTTCTCAAGCAAGTCTTGCAACTGTTCCTTCAACTCTGGTAGGGCCATACGATACGGCAGGATAGAAATGGGCTGAGTGCCCCGAGCCAAATCAATGCAAAAGTCAATATCCCTATCGGGTGGCATACCCGGCAGGTCTGAAGGGAAAACCCTAGGAAACTTATGAACAACGGGCACAAAATCGATAGAAGGAACCTCAGTACTAGAATCACGTACATATGTCACATAGGCCAAACACCTCTTCTCGACCATACGCCGAGCCTTCACATTAGAGATAACACTACGAGTAGAACGACTAGGAGTCCCTCTCCACTTTAAATGAGGCAAAACCGGCAAAGCTAAGGTCATAGTCTTGGCGTGACAGTCCAAGATAGTGTGGTAAGGTGATAACCAGTTCATCCCTAATATGATATCAAAATCGATCATGTCCAAAAGAAGCAAATCTACACGAGTCTCAAGACCTCCAATCATAACTATACAAGAACGATGGACTCGATCTACCATAATAGAGTCACCCACTGGTGTAGACACATAAACAGGAACACTCAAAGAAGCACTAGGCATGACCAGATACAGTGCAAAATAAGATGACACATACGAGTATGTAGACCCTGGGTCAAACAACACTGAAGCATCTCTATCACAAACCAGAACCGTACCTGTAATAACCGCATCTAAAGCCTCAACCTCGGGCCTGGCTGGAAGAGCATAACATCGGGGCTGGGCCCCACCACCCTGAACTACATCTCTGGGACGACCTGCTGCAGGCTGGCCTCCACCTCTAGTGGTCTGAGCTCCACCTCTAATACCTCTACCTCCACCTCTAGCACCTCTACCACCACCTCTAGCTGGCTGGGCAGGCTGTGGGACACCTGGTGTTTGAACCATGGCACGGGAACCCTAATGCTGAGAGCTACTTGGTGCTCGAGGGTAAAACCTAGCAATGTGACCCATATCACCACAAGTGTAGCAAGCCCTCGGCTGCTGAGACTACTGGCCCTGATGACCTGAATGACCACCCCGAAAACTCTGAAGCGGTGATGCACTGATAAGAGCAGGTGGTGCACTGCAGGACTGCTGATTAGAATACTGCATTTGAGGACCACGACCACCTAAAGTACCGTGAGAAACCTGAAGTGCTAATTGAAAAGGCCTAGGAGGATGGCCTCTACCATATGAATCCCTACCTCCAGATAAGGTACCACTAAATCGGCCTGAATGATGGGGCCTCTTGTCCAACCCATGACCACCTCCCTGTGACAGAACCATCTCCACTCTCCTGGCCACATTGACCGCCTCCTAGAAAGATATCTCTCTCCCTGCCTCCCTAGCCATCTGAAGACGAATCGGCTGAATAAGTCCATCAATGAACCTCCTCACCCTCTCTCTCTTGGTGGGAAGTATGGTAAGAGCAAAATGATCCAAGTCGATGAATCTGGTCTCATACTGGGTAATAGTCATAAAACCCTACTGGAGGAGCTCAAATTGCCTCCGATAGGCCTTTCTCTAAGTGATGGGGAGAAGCTTCTCCAGAAATAGCTGCATAAACTACTCCCAAGTCAAGGCTGGCGATCCGGATGGTCTAGCCAAACAAAAATCCCTCTACCAAGTCTTGGCGGATCCAGACAAGCGAAAAGTGGCAAAATCGACCCCATTGGTCTTAACTATCCCCATGTTCCTGAGAACCTCGTGACAGCTGACTAGATAATCCTAGGGATCCTCAGTAGATGCACCGTTGAAAGTAGTAGTGAAGAGCTTGGTGAACCTATCCAACCTCCACAAAGTATCGACAGACATAGCCGCTCCGTTACCGATCTGAGCTACCACACCTGGCTAAACTGCTCCAAATGGCTGGACCGCTGGAGTCTAAAACTGGGGAGCTACCTACTTTGGAGTGCGAGTAGCAAGATTCTAGGCTCCTCCTCCAGCCTGAGAGATGGCTGGTGCTACAGGAAGAAAGCCTTCTCGGGTGACACTCTCCATGAGGCCCACCAGATGGACCATAGCATCCTGAAGAATCGGGGGTAGCAATAAACCCCTCTGGGACCTGAGCTGTGCCCACCAGAACTACTGGGGCCAGAACCTCATCATCAAAATCAACCTGAGGCTCCACCGCTGGTGCTGCTACTCGGGGCTGAGCTCTTCCCCTACCTCGGTCTCTAGCACAGCCTCGACCTCTGCCCCTCGTGGGAGCTACTGTTGGGGGCTCGGGCTGCTAGTCAGTGGATGAGGATGCATGTGTTTTCTCCATCCGCAAAAGAATAGAGTAGAAATTCAATTAACATTGAGAAACCAAACCGCACGATAAGAGAGAATAAATGTGAAGTTGTTCCTAACTCTATAGCCTCTGGGGGATAAATACAGACGTCTTCGTACCGATCCCTCATACTCTACCAAGCTTGTCTGTGAACTGTGAGACCCATGTAACCTAGAGCTCTGATACCAACTTGTCACGACCCGGATTTCCCACCCTCGGGAGTCGTGATGGCNATTTATTTCTTTCAGGCCTTTGTTGTAGTACTGTCACGACTCGGATTTCCCAACTTCGGGAGTCGTGATGACACCTACTAATGTGAGCCAAGCAAGCTAATCATTTAACTACTTACTTCATTACCCAATTATTTCTTTTTAACAAATATAAGGCGATAACATGAAAACAGTGGAACTTTAAATAATTAAGTAGAAGATAACAATTAAATATCTGAAATATGCATCTATTACAACTCTTAAAACCTAAAGCACCCAACACCTGGTGTCACAGTGTCACAAACGTTCAAAGATTTACTACATACAAAGTCTGAAGAAAATGGCAATACACTGTTTCTGAATAAAAGGAAAATGAAACAGGAAATAGGAATAGAGGAGACGCCAGAGCCCGCAGACGCTTGCAGGTCTATCTTAGATCTCCACATGGACTGAAGATAGCCTCCACACTACGGTCCAAAAGCTGCTCCGGGATCTGCACATAATGCAGAGTGTAGTATCAGCAACATCGACCCCATGTGCTGGTAAGTGTCTAGCCTAACCTCGGCAAAGTAGTGACGAGGCTAGGACCAGACTACCAAATAACCTGTGCAGTTCAAATACATATACAACGGAAAGAAATACAGAAATAACCAGTCAATATGGGAGGGGGAGCATGCTGTGGGGGAGATAACAATTCTGAATAGAAAGACATCAAGTAATGAAAGAAACAATATAACTCGGATATTAACAAAGAATCATAAATCAACAAATGCACGGCATCACCCTTCGTGCTTTTACTCTCGTCCTCACCACATCAATCATATAATAAAAATGTACACGGCATCACCTTTCATGCTTTTACTCTCTTTCCTCACCATATAATCAATATAATCGGCTCGGAATGGTACATCGTGCGGCACGACTTCACCCTTCGTGCTTTACACTCTTTGCTCACAATCATACACGGCAACACCCTTCGTGCTTTACACTCTTTCCTCACAAAACAAACAATGCACGACTGAAAAGCCCAATTACCCATTCCCCCACGAACTTAAATATATAATTTATTTTGAAATCGGACCTCAAATTGAGGTCCAAATCCCCAATTTTTGAAAAATCTAGGTTCTACCCAAAACACCCAATTTCCCCCATGAAATTGGTTGATTTTAAGTTGAAATCATGTTAAAAGATGTTAATGATTGAAGGAAATGAGTTAAAATCACTATAGAAAAATAGGTCTTTAGCGATGGAAAATTCAGTCGTTAAAACTCCAAATCCGGTCGTTATCAGTCAATTACGATGGGATAAAAACCGGTCGTCGCCGGTAGTTAGTGCCTCCATCGTTAAAGATAAACGACTGAGTTTTGATCCCATCGTAAAAACTCTTTTAACGATGGCAAGGAATCCAGTCGTTATACCAAGATTAGCGAGGGGATTTTTCCATCGTTATTTGTCGTCCCAGTTGTTAAAACCTTCACTAACGGTAACTAATTTTCTGTCGTTCTTAGTGTATGGCGATCGAAATTCCATTCGTTAATTGTATGTACTTTTAACGACATACTTTTTAAAAACCAAAATTTCCCTTTGCGAATGTGAACTTTTAAGTAATAAATATATTACAAGTATTCGAAATCATACAAAGAATAAAGTCAATATTGACATAAAACATCTTTTTTAATTATAGATAGAGAACTAATCAAAGTAGCACTAATATTACATCCAAATTGCATGATCCATGTTTTCAATTCCTTAAAGAAAATAAAAAATTAAAGAGAAAGTAAAATAGTAGTTCGTACGGATGACGACTACAACTCCTAATAAAACATAATAGATTTTCCTTGTTCTTCAACATTCTAGCTGCTTCAACTTGCTCGGAACTATCTTTATGGAAGATGCTTCAAACTTCAGGCCCTTTATCTGATCTGTTAAAAAAGGTTCATATTAGCTGAGTAAGAAAACAAGATTTAAGATTGAAGTTGCTACAACACAGTAAAATGTAAAACCACGAAGCGAAAAACATCTCAAAATACTATGAACAATCAGTGCTTCTTACAACTACATTACTAAGTCCACCTTTTTTACAATTATATTTTCTATCAATCAGTATGCATATGTAATGAGAATGAGCATTCACCCTCTAAACTGAAGTCTTCGCTTTCTTGTATCTATGAATGTCTGCAGAGTAGGCCAAGAGACACATATAAATTGTAGTATGAGCTGCCAGCAGTAGCCTGCATACAGGTACCATTTCTGCATTTCAATAAACTAGCAGACAATAGACAACTAAAGATCCTTTAAAACTCTCCTTTTGATTCAATGACAGAAGTGGATCCTAACCAGAATCACTAAAAGGGTCAACATTGGGCATTGAAGTAGGGTAATTAAAGGAAGTATCACCATCATTGCTGTGTTGTAGCCTCATATCACCATTATCCTTACTACCCATTTCCAAGAATTGAAAGATCTACAAATTTTATTAGGACTCAGTTCGTGCGCACCTTCAAAAAGGCAACACCAATGCAATGGAGATTAAGAAATCTTCATTGCAGAGATTCTCATGCATTTAAGTGAGGCTGCTTCATCTTCTTAATTACTTAAAGTAACTACATGCACTTTTCAAAGTGTATCCTAGTCCATATATGTTTCCTCTACCCTGATCTTGAACTTCTATGATATTAGTGTTTCGTGCCTTTTTTATGACCTTTACTGAGCTGCATTCCTTCCATTCTTTAGTGTATCAATACATGCAACTAGTTTAAATTCCTACTGGATCAAACCAGTTACGTGGTATAGATTTGACAGAAAATTGTGGTTGAGCCGCATCCATATCTTGTGCATGTTTTTCCACTCTATTTAGTGTATTAGTAATGATTACTTTTGATTTATCAAAGCTTGTTCTTATTCTTAAGAACACTTAGTGAACAATATGAAGGGCGGAAGGGTTTTGGCAAATGAAGAAAAATAGGGCTTCTGTAAACAAAGGTAGAAAAAAAGGTTCACAGTAAGTGTTGATCAATATATAACAAAAGAAGAGAGCACTTTTACACTTCCTTCCATTTCTAATGAGTTGTCATGTTGGGGTATTGTTCTTTTTGGAAGTTTCTTTCATGCAATTAGAAGAAAATGAAGTCCTCTTTTCATGACAACAGTTTTGTTCCCCCCTCCAACCCAATAACATGACTCCTGAATATTAAGCTTTATCAGATTGTACCAGTTCTTGTATCACAGTATGGGGAGAGTTACACTAGCATTTAATGAACATAATTTGGATGGTTAGTTCAGTATCTGTTGCTATATTTGGCTAAGCATCACCACTGAACAATGCTGGGTAGAAAACTTGCTATACAATCTTTAGCAATACAATTCAAGCACACTGGATACAAAGTGGAATAAATACCAATGCAACATGCTATTACACCATACCAATATGGAATACAGGCAAAGGTTTCAAGGGGAAGCAGAGAGATGACACACAAAAATGATCGCAAATATAGTGTATTGGTTCGTTGTTGTATAGTAAACTTACTCAATAGTATGTAGGGAAGAACTATTCTTTCGTACATATGCAAAAACTACAGGGAGGAAAAATGGAGTAGCAGGAATGGAAAGGCAATAGAAATGACATTAAAATCTCAACGAAGGCAGTTTCATGAGTTTGCTCTTTAAGTCATCTCTGCCTTAAGTAAGATTATTTTTGCACAAAATGTGGTCCAATGAATTTGGTATAATTGCATCTTGTGGTTGCAACAATTTTTACTGGTTATTGAGTCTGTCATGAATAGCTTGTAGACCTCGTTTTGAGTTTTGATGACCAATTACTTTTCAATTTACACCTTCTGAAGTTGTCTTTTGCATTTTTCTCTTTTGCATTTTGTAGTCTCTCATTTGTCTGCTTTGCATCTAATTGTAACAGCTAATGAGATGTTTTGAGTATCTATATCATAGTCACTTAGGAGGGAAAGAGTTATACGTACTTTCAAATAAAGTACTGGACAGGACGATCATGCTATAATGTTTTTGGATTACTAGTTTAGTCAGGTTGGTGGCTTAACTTTTACTTTCTGTAAAGTATCACTTGATTTCAATAACTTCATACACCCTTCCCTTCCCTCTCCGCAAAGAGCGTTTCGTATTTTTCCTCCTTGTTTTCTTGTTATTGCCTATTTTCTGGTGTAGTTTCTCAGAAAAACTTTAATTTCTAAGTACATTTGCACCTTGCACATCAGTGCCACCCAGATCTTTAACTATTTCATTGTCGCTAACCTGCACATTAATCAACATTTTGTAAAAAGGATTTGGCTATCTGTGCAAGCAACGGAAAACAGATCTGGACCTCAAATCTCAAATAATGTCATACGTTCAAACAATGAATCTGAGATGCACATATCTAATTGGATTTCAATATTAGATTAACTGTACATATGTCAAGGTCAGTACTTTATTTAACTAACAACAAAAGACTTCACTAAATTTATTTAAGGATATTCATCAGGTCATAGTTGGTAGAAAGCTTACGAACCTGTTAAATACTAATTTCAGCTTGTACTTTGTTGACTTGAAGATGGTGCTGATGAAGGCTGATCATCCAGTAAGCTAGTAATATGTGCAAACTTAGAATCTATGTCGTCCATACATATTTCTAGTGATTCTTTTTCTTTTTTAGTTGCATTCAGCTCGGTCTATAGTGATTCTTTTTCTTTTCCAACTGCATTCAGCTTAGCCGGTATTGCAGCCTTTGAGGAACTACCGCCTTTCAATTCCTTAGTGGTTATACCACCCCCTAATCCAATCACGTGACTCTTGTTTTGAGGTCCGAAGCATCTTTCCACTACCTCGATATTCGTAAGAGATGGCTCAGATTGTACCAGTTCTTGTATCTCAGCCTATAAAATACAAGAAAAATTAAAATAATAAAATACATCAAAATAAAATGAAGGATATAAAATGAAGTTCATCAATAAGCATACATATTTTTCACCAGCTTCAGGTTCTACAAGCGTGTCATTTTTCTTGTGAGTCTCAAAGAAGATAGTCACCATGTTCGGTGGATTACCGTCATTGCCTGCCTTCACATTTAAATAAACAAGTCAAACAAAGACGATATTTTTTATAGGATTGCACTGTGCACTTACCTGTTCGTAAATAATTTCTCTAATCGGCTTGCTACCCGTACGATGAGGCATTCTCAACTTAGACCTATTGATCGAGTTTCTAATACTTGTTTCCTATATTAAGAGCAAACCATTGAAATCATGAGATATTACTTACAGTAATAAGAAGTTAAAAGTAGTGATGAAATCTTACCTTAAATATTTCACTTAAAAAATATTTCTTGACCAACCATTCACAATCACTCTTGTCTACCTCATCCGGGACATCTTTTAGGGCTTCATGCAATGGCTTAAACTTCACATACTTTTGCAATGATCCTCTCCAATTGTTCCATAACTTTCTCATATGATTTAACACATGATCTCTTTGATGATTCATGTCATCACTGTCAAATTTATCCTAAATATTTTGCAAAATCATTAATCAAGAAAGTAAATTTTTTTACGTAAACTAAAGATAGTTTTTGCTGTTTCAAACAAAATGTGTCTGTTTTCAGTTACATTGCTTAAGACCTAGGATCTTCAGCATTCACAAAGATTCATAAGTAAAGCATTTTATAAATTACGTAGAGCTTAGAGACTTCAGAGCAGCAACATGCCTTAGAAACTACACGCCAATAATATATACAAAAAACGACTAATTATGATCAAACATTCTATAAGAGGCAATAGAAAAGTCAACAACCAATAAGCTCTAGTACTTTACAGTGCTATAAACCCAACTTCCAGTATGCAAATTCTTGGATTTCAAGAAGAAATAACAAATATGTGCCAAGTAATCAAATGTAACATTCTCTTCCCTTTTTAGCCTAACCCTCATAAGTCATAACATTATTTGAAGCAGTAACTTATAATCAAATCCTATGCAGGGAATCAAACTAATTCCCCTCCACACCCAAATACCCCGTGTAGAAGGGTAATGTACAAGCAGGTGTCACTGTGCTAGGTACACATTGAGAAACTATGGAGAGCCTTCATGTTAGTCACTTAAAAAATGTAATCAAGTAGAAGTTTTGACATTGTATGTGACCTTACAGACTAAGAGATACACAAAAAAACTTGCACTAAAGGCTGCACCTTTACAACAAAACATTACAATATATGTAATAATTCACTAACACCATTATTGTGAGAAGACTATAGAGGTGCTTGCTATATTACCTGTTACCTACATTCTGGAAAGTCCAAGAAGTTATTACGATTAGTTGTTGCAAAATACTACAGATGGTGTCATTAACGAGAAACCAATATTTAAAATTAGGAGTGTAAGTGCTGAACCATTTTCCATGAGATCTGGAACATGTAATTACGGCAAAGAACACTAAAATCTCCAACAGTTTTGCTTCCTATAGAGTTCTATCTAGAGAATAAGAAACATGCTCCTTGACTAGCACCTTAGATTTTCCTTCTTATTGATTCCTTAAAACTGGATCATTATAACTTTGCTAATAGGGGAATGTGCCTCTGGAAAATGTAATTGGATTTGTACTTGTAGGCAAGACTGGGATCATGTTAGATTGGATGAGGAGACTGAAGAAAGCCCTTGGAGCAGCCCGAGTTTTGCAGTATCTTCATGACCTTGTTAATCCTCCTATCATACACAGAGACATAAAGTCCAACAACATCTTGCTGGATGAATGCCTAAACGCAAAAGTTGCTGATTTTGGTTTGTCCAAGCTTCTAGGTGACTATGAAAGGGGTCACATTACCACTCAGGTCAAAGAAACAATGGTGAGTAAAGATTATCTTCATTCCTGCCCAAACTTGTTTGATTTGGAATATTGTATGCTTATATCTTAGCATTTTCTGATGTCCACAAGTTCAGAAATTGTATTGTCTCGATAATTTCTAGTACAGTAGGAACCATTTGGGACTTTCTAAGGGAGAAACATCTGCACTTAGGGGCAGCATACCTTTGTGTCAATAAGACATAAGGGGAATCATACCATTGTGTCAACAAAATGCATCTTAACTCTTACACCAGAAGAATTACTCAACAAGAACAACTACTGCCAGGTGCTGAATGATCAGCTATGACATGGGATTTTGGTGTTCAAAAATAGGATCGATGAGTGCATTCTGGACTAAAATCTCAGTGCACTTCATTACCCCCATATACAAGGAAGGCTATCGAACAAAGTTGGTCTCAGAATTTTCCTCGAACTCATAAGAGATCTACAACAAACTATGCAAACTCACTCATGCGCACAACTGCTGGTATAAAGATGTCATATTTTATAGAACAGTTGTGGTGGATCACAAGGTGCTACAGCTGGTGTAATGAATTTGCATTAATCATATGCAACAAAAAGGATATAATGATCGTGGCTTCTTCAGCTCATCACCACAAATATGGATAATGCAAGGTTTGGACATTAATTTGGAAGATTCACTGGATTCATTATGTTCAAAGTTGAGGCAACACTGGTGATACAAAAAGATCTATCTAAGATTTTTTTAAAATTCTAACTAACATCTTAATTAGATAACACTTCATAGTCATAGAACACACTGTCTAAGTTAGACCTAGAGATTCAAGAGGTGATCCCGACAAGGGATGCAGTAAAACTAATTAAATGTAAAATGCAACAGATCATTTGTGGAATTAGCATTGAATAGAACTACTTTAACAAAAATTTCCAGCCACCATTAGCATATCTAACATAGACCATAAACAGAGTGGGAACGGTAACAAAAATTTCAAGTACTTTCAATTAAAATATTACTTTATAGTGCTTTAGATTATTACCGTAATAGCTCGCCACATGTGTTCCGGCTTATCTTCTCCGATGTCCTTCCATGAATGTACTTGCAACGGACACATATTACGATCACGAACTAATATGCCTAAGCGTCTCGAAAATGAGGCTTGATGCTTCCCAACAACCTGATTATGATAAAAGTTGACTCTAAACTTTTCTCCAGATTTGGGTCCCGCAACATCTTTATTCCTATTCTTTCCTCTCACCTTTTTTGGGTTTTCAGATTCACATAGATCTGCAAATTTTAATTTATAACATAAATTAAATTCCAATTTTACAACAAAAAAAAATATTAAACTTGATACCTTGCATCATTTCATCTTCTTGAGCAAGAGAAACATCGTCTTCCATCGGATCGAAACTAGGAGGCATAAGATTATTACTATTATGTGCTAGCTTATTCTGCTCAGAAGCTGCTGAGTTATGATTTTTACTTTCCCTAACAATATTTCTCTTTCCAACGCTTCCTTTTACCGAGCCCACAGATCTAACATTTTGCCTGCGTCCCCTTGCTCAAGCACCAGGTTGATTGTAAGTGTCTCGTACATTCTTCGAAGTAGATACTATTTCTGCAGATTTTGATTAGAGTAAAACATAAAATAACTTCTATTCTTATAAGAAACAAAAAAAGAATAATTAAAGCTTGAGACCTTGCATCATTTCAGCTTCTTGAGTGAAGGGAATATCTTCTTCCATCATATCAAAACCAGGAGGCATAGGATTATTACTATTATGTGCTAGCTTATTCTGCTCACAAGCTGCTGAGTTGTGATTTTGTACTTTCCCTAACAAGATTTCTCTTTCCAACTCTTCCTTTTACCGAGCCCACAGATCTAACGTTTTGCCCGCGTCCCCTTGCTAAAGCACCAGGATGATTGTAAGTGTCGTACATTCTTTGAAGTAGATACTATTTCTACAGATTTTGATTAGAGTAAAGCATAAAATAACTTCTAGTCTTATAACAAACAAAAAAGAATAATTAAAGCTTAAGACCTTGCATCATTTCAGCTTCTTGAGTGAAGGGAATATCTTCTTCCATCATATCAAAACCAGGAGGCATAAGATTATTACTATTATGTACTAGCTTATTCTGTTCACAAGTGCTGAGTTGTGATTTTTACTTTCCCCAACAAGATTTCTCTTTCCAACGCTTCCTTTTACCGAGCCTACAGATCTAATATTTTGCCCGCGTCCCCTTGCTAAAGCACCAGGTTGACTGCAAGTGTCTCGTACATTCTTCGAAGTAGCTGCAACTTCTGTAGATTTTGATTTGAGTAAAGCATAAAATAACTTCCAGTCTTATAACAAACAAAAAAGAATAATTAAAACTTGACACCTTGCATCATTTCAGCTTCTTGAGTGAAGGGAATATCTTCTTCCATCATATCAAAACCAGGAGGCATAAGATTATTACTATTATGTGCTAGCTTATTCTGCTTAGAAGCCCCTGAGTTGTAATTTTTAATCTCTCCAAATAGATTTTTTTTGCCAACATTTACTTTTGTAGAGCCCAAAGATCAAAAGCTTCGCCCTTGTCCCCTTGCTAAAGACGCAGGTTGAATGTATGCAAGATTTACATTCTTTAAAGCTCCTCCTGTTTCTACAAATTTTGATTTAAGTGAAACATAAAACCAATACCGGTTCAATAAGAAACAAAAAAAAGTTAAAACTTAAGAGACCTTGTTTCTATTAAAGTAGTCAAATATCTCACATTGGTGGTTGACACTTTTGTTTGGGATTTTTTCCCTATAAAAGGAGGCCTAATGTTTACGATTTATACACACCTCTCATTTGCCTTCTTGTCTTCTTAAGGCATGTGTATCTTCTCTCTTTAGTATTTTTTCACTTGTATTTTTGGAGTGGAATAAAATATTGGTTGTGTCCGAGGAAGTAGGCAAAATTGGTCGAACCTCGTAAATTCTGGTGTTCCTATTATTGTTTCTTTATTGTCTTATTTATTATTTGGTGGCTGTCATAATTTTTGGTATAGTAGTTATGACTCATTCACACTATATACTTTTGGCTTCCACAACAATTGGTATCAGAGCCAAGGTACTATCTACGTATGCTCTGTGATTGCAGCATAGTTTGATCTTCCACATCAGAAAAGATTTATCTTGGTAACTGAGTCAAGATTCTGTCTGAGTATGCTCTGTGGTTGCAGTTTAGTCTGCTCTTCCATACCAGAAAGAAAATAATCTTGATTTGTATCGTCGGCTGTTAAATAATAGTTGTGTCAAAGATGGGAGACAATAAACAAGAAGAATCTACATCAAGTGCCAACAATACGTCATCATTGGAATCTTCGCTTATGACAAGAATTGTGCCAAATGCGAAATTTGCGGTAGAAATTTTTGATGGGTCAGGACATTTTGGGATGTGGCAAGGAGAAATTCTAGATGTTCTTTTTCAACAAGGGCTAGATCTTGCCATTGAAGAAAAAAGACCAGATGTCATTGGAGAAGAAGATTGGAGAATTATCAACCGTGTTGCTTGCGGTACCATTCGATCCTACCTTGCTAGAGAGCAGAAATATCCATACACAAAGGAAACTTCTGCAAGTAAATTATGGAAAGCACTGGAGGATAAATTTTTGAAGAAAAACAGTCAAAATAAATTGTACATGAAGAAGAGACTGTTTCACTTCACCTATGTTCCTGGTACCACGATGAATGAACATATCACCAGTTTCAATAAGTTGGTTACAGATTTGCAAAATATGGATGCAACTTTTGATGATGGTGGCTTGTCCTTGATGTTGTTGGAGTCACTTCCTGATGAGTACGAGCACCTTGAAACTACTCTACTCCATG